GAGGATGCAGCACACAGGCTCCGGTACCTGCTACCCTGTGCTTCAGAGAAGAGGTACTGTAATTATAGATTGCATTTTTATAACACCTCTCATTTGAGCCCTTTGAAGAGCATGAATAATAGTTGTTCTTATCTTCCCTATGAGGTAAAAATAATTGCATGAATATAACAAATGAAGGAATTAGCATAGTGGGGAAAGGAACTGGACTCTTGTATTTGTGCACTGCTCCAAACTCTGCCAGCACTGACACTACTGAGGTGCTCCAGAAGCGCCTCCCAGCAGAGCATCCTACACACCAGCTGCCCACACCGCTTCACAAGTTACCCCTGGCTGATGGTGGAGGCTCACACCGATGGCAAAAAAAAAAAAAAAAATCCGTACAAGGTTGGAATAATTGGAAAGAAATCACTGGGAAGGATGGAAAGAAACATGCTGATTCAGCTGTAATAGAGCCTTCCACATCATGTGGCATTAATGGGCTGAAACCAGCATTTTTGGTCCCTATTACCTTATAGCTGAGCACCTTCACAGGGGATATCCTGGAGAAGAAAGAGATTGCAGTTTTTAGTCTGCTCAAACATCTCTTCTTGGAGCTAAAGGAAAGAACATGCTTTCACAAGAGTTTTTACAGAAGAATATCCCTATTCCACATTGGGATTAATCAACACCTTATTAAATGATGAGAACAAGCCAGAATGTGCATCTCACTGAAGGTTGGTTAGTATCTCTAGCAGCTGGGCAATAAACATCTTTGTAGAGCTGGGCTCAGGGATCCAGAGCAGGAACCCTGGTCTGCCCCTTGTGCAGAACGGATCTCCTCTTCAGAGGCTTTAACCTTTATGTACCTTTACTTAAAACCATGCACTACCTCATAAATCAAATCAGTATCAGGTATGATTTGTCTTAGGCTATTCCCACCCCCAGCATTTACACAATACCGCAAGCAATAATAATACAGTTTGAGGTGACCAGTTACCAGATTATAAACTTTACCGCTTTGTGGTTACTTAGGATCTGAACTCGGGCAGAGTTCCTGCTTTGGGATTCAGCTGCTTTTGTTCGGAGCTCAGCTGCTCACAAGTAAAGGCACTATGAGGAACAAGCTTCAAGGTCTGAGGTCTGGATTACATCAATGGTGACTTGGTACAACAGTAAATGCCTATCTCCTGTCTTCATATAGCATCTTGTGCTGGACACACCAAATGAAAGCAGCTGCACTGAGAAAGACTTGGAAGTACTTATTCTACTGCAGTTACAGGGAATTGCAAGACCCCATCTCTGTTGGCAATCATATTAAAACAATTTGTCTCAGTGGCAACTGAGATCTACCAACTGGCAGTATATGGCATACTGTTGAATTACGTAGCCACATACAGTAACATCATCTCAAGCATCTGAGCTAGCTGATTTGTAAATTTATTTATTCAATCAAGGAAAGTATTTGAGCACCTGCTTCTAATCTTCTGCCATAAAATAAGTGACTAAAACTACAGAAAGCAGGCTTTCCTGCACACCCCACCCCACCCCCCAAATCCCTAAAAATATACTGGATGGTATATTTTACCCTACTTATTTTCAGGAGTTTGTACCCTGCCATAGGCATTATTGAATCAATACTGAACTAGTCCAAAAGCACAACTAATTTGCTCTGGATCTCTCTCATTCCAAGAATTATAATTTATGAATGCTTCAAGGGGATATCTGCAGGATGGATGGATGTTCAGCAAAGAAGTTGTGTTAAAACCAAACTCATGAAAACAACTTAACAGCCAGAATTTACTCTCATTTTACAGAGAAGGTTTTTGGTCTCCAACCATAAGTTAGCGCAAGGTTTCACCAGATGTTTCCCTGAATTACATGTAATACGTATAATTTTTTGTGGATGAATCATTGCACTTAAGAAAACTGATTTTCAACTCTTAGCCCACCCTTTTGGATGTGGTTGTGTGTAGCTCCTAGGAGCTGGGAACTAACCTAATGAGGCTGCAGCAGCTCTCTGTCAGAGCATGGAACGGCAGCAAGGACACAGCCAACAAACACAAAACCCCAAAAGACAGAACAATGAGAGAGAAGCATAAAGCAACAAGTCATCAACATTTCTGTATCTATTAGGGTCACAAAAAGTTGTCCCGTGCTTTGCAGAACTTTTCTCTTTATTGTGCCTCTCAACTCTCACCTGGACACTACCCTCCCTCCTCCCCCTGGTTTTAAGCAAATGGGAACATTTTAATGAAGAATTCAGAAAACACCAACAGGGCAGCTGGCAAAGGTCTGATCTTACTGGAGCTCTTCTGTTTGGGTGAGTTTTAGGGGATCATTTCACATAGACTTGCTTCCCCCGCATTTCAGGTGGAACAAAAGAAATCAGAAAAAAAAGATAATTTCCTATTGGTTTAATGTTTTGTTAAAAAATGCTCAGCAGTTTTAGGTTGTACTCAGAGATTAAAACTGCCACTAATGTCTCTGGTTTCGGTCGTTTCCGGTCAAACACCTGAATGAACTAATAGCAAGAACGGGACTCACCTCTGGAGTACAACTAACAGACAAGGTGGAACTGGGCAAGCATGCATTCAGCTGCAGCAAATTCTAAAATCGCACATTTTCCAAATTACTGTCTACGCTATTTACCTCTCCATAATTATTGCTTCTTACATTAGACTAATGAAGAATCGACACTCAGGTTTGGGTTTGGTTTTTTGGGGGGGTTGGATTTTGGGTTTGGGTGTTGTTTTTTTTCTTTTAACAGGGCAAAGAAACACTGTTTAAGTAAGCCTGTTCCATCTGCAGGAGAATAATTCTAGCATATAGCCAATTTCAGTGTCTTTAGTGTTATTACACACAGCCATCAGAAAGCACATGGAACTTCCAGATGTTTATAAATAAAAAGCAGCGATCATTTCCAGTGAATATGTGAGAAATATTTATGTTGTAATATAAGCACCCACTGTACCTTTCCCACCGCTGCCACCTAGCACAAAGAAAACAATTTATTACCACCTTTAAAGATTTCCAAGTGACTGAAACCTGCATTGCACTACATTAATGACCACCTGCATTACGTTAATGCTATTTACACGTATAAGTACTTCTTAGCACATGCACAGAGTCAGAATGGAAAAAAAACACAACCTCATATAACTTAATGAGTACCAAATACATACATCTTGGTCTCCAAGTGGTTTTTGCAGCCAGAAAAAAAGAATTCCAAGAAAAATTATCCAAAGATAAAAAGCTTAAGTATCATGCTCCTACACACTCTCAGGTAATCCATCAGCAATCAGGAACTATGTGTATCAGTAATTCTGACAGGGTTCCCTTACAAATAGTCAAAATAAAACGCTATACCCTTCTACACTTGTATGGATTGAGTGATTACTGACTGATGACCGCAAACAAAATGCAGCCAGGGCTGTTCAGTGAATACAAGTTGGGACTATTTGCTCACTTTTGCTCATTTCATCTTTGAACAGGCAACTTTCTCATCTGTCACATATTTGACTTTGCTGGGGAAACACTGGGGAGACTCTTCTGGGGAAAGCAATTGCTTTGAAAAGAGCAGACACTGGAATTACAGTAATTAGACCTGGAAAGAAGATATAAAAATGTTCTTGCAGTTAAACAGGTAGCATTGCAATTGCCTCAGCATTTGACTTATTTGACTTGACAGCTTATTTTTACATGAGCACTTCTGTTGGCATTATTTGAAATTAGTTGTCATTGTCAGATATCTTAATTTATTTGTAATTATATAATTGCACTCCAGTGATATTCTAGGAGCAAACTAAAAGCTCCCATGATATTAATTTTGTAATAAGGAATATCAACATTCATGTAATGAGAAATACATGCCAATTTACATCTTCTCTTCTCTTAGTTTAAAATAAAATAACTCTTTTATTTAGGCTAGTTTTCATATTTGTTCCTAATCCTGCAGGAGGATTTTAGAATTATGTGACAGCACTGATTTTACAGTAGCAAGGTTAAAATTCCACCTGCTTTTCTTGCTTTTAACATTATCCAGCAAAACATATTTAATATATAATTGTCCTCTACCTTTATCCAATCTTTTGTCAGCCTTAGCTAACCCATATTTTAAAGTTAATATATGAATAAAGTAACGTAGGTATTTATGCTAATATTTTATCATTGCTCTTTCCTTTGCTAGATAAGCTTGGCACAGTTGGTGATCGAAGCAAGAATACACTCAATGACTTGGGGGTCCCTTTGTTAAAAAAAAGATCTCATTTGCGTCATCAAGAAGTTATTTTCTTTCAAAATTCAGTGATACCTACATCCCTTTATGAATAGATAATATATTCACCAAAGCTCACTTAATTGTTAAAACATATATGCTTTACTCAGCCAGGAAAACCTTTAAGAAAAAAAAAGTTCATTACATTAGTAAGATTAAGAGAGACCAAATCTTCTAGTTCAATACGTGAAAACAGAAATATTTCTCTCTAGGTTATTTTGCTTCTGGATACTTTGCTGAAGTATCTGGAATAGCAAATACAGAGAAGTTTTGTTTTATTCACATTCACTCCATCATGTCTTTAACCTGCAAATGTCACAACAGAATTGTTTTAGGTAGCCATATGAAATAATGCACCTAATTATCAGCTGTGCTTCCATTATCTCAAGAGAGACTTTCCTTTTTCCAGGTTGGTACTAATTTATTTTCAAGAGAGGAAAAGAATTAACAATAAGAAAAATTAATTAAGAAAATTGGATAAAATACTACACAAGGCAAAAAAAAAAAAAATCACAGCTTCAGATTCTCTCTGGCTATGGTAATATACCAAAAGCAAACAAAAGCATAAAGAATAATTCCCTCTTTGCAGCCTGTATGATTCTTAATAAAGATAAAGACAATATTGAGAATCAGTGCACCGACATACAAAGCTTTCCTTCCCACAGCCTATCTGCTACTTACAGTGGCTTTACTGAAACAGATTTAAACAAAAATAAACAGGAGCTGGAAAACTTGGAAGTTCTCTTACCATCTGACAAGTCAATTAGCCCGAGGTAGTGCAAAAGTTTCAGAGAGGAGCACACCACCACCACAATCCCTAAAGTCTGGAGTCCCTCTGACTCGCCTTTAGTCCACATCCTTTAAGGCACCACACAGATACCTACTGGTGTGCCTGCAAACAACTGGCAGACATCTAAAGCTGAGAAATCCTCTGTTTGAAGCTTTTCTTCCTGCTGCTCAGCTAAGTGCACAGCACATTTCCCTCGCCCATCTCTCTCTCACACTCCCTGTTTCTCAACCTCTCCCCCCCTATTTCTAGCTCTCCTCTTTCCCCCTCTCTCTTGCTTTTTTTTTTTTTTTTTTTTTTTAAAACATGCAAGCAATTCTGCATTTAACAGTAATCTATGATTTTATTTTCTTTCACTTCAGGGTAATTCTCTCAAGAGTTCACTCTGCCCCTGGACAACTTAGCACTGTGCTGCTAACCTCAGCAACATCTCACATATTTTTTTTTTTTTTTTTTTTTTTTTAAATATCCGTGATACCAGTCAATTTTTGCATTTGGGATTTTCTCAGTAATCCTACCAATGCAGATGCTTTTTGTCAATGCCTGTTCTGTACTGCATAAGAGACTATGGCATATTGTAGGGGAGGAAAGGAAAGGTCGTTTACCTTTCTTAATTCCTCCCCCCACCCTGATGTGCTAGGATATGCATCAACACACTTCCCACATACACGTGTATATCTGCATAGGGCCCAGAACCTACACAGCAATTCTGTTTGTAAGCAACAGTTCCAAACTCTGTTCCTCTCAGTTAGCTGCTGGACAGCAAAGAGCGCATTTCGCTGGCATTTAACACACACCCAGCCATCAGCCTGGAGCAGTGCTGACCTGGAACGCGCAATCCTTTGCAGGCAGCTAAAGGCAGACAGATGCACTTTACACTTGTTCATCTTTGCAGTATTTCACCAGGCTGCTGGCATGGGGTAGCACTGCAGGTTGCTCTCAAGTTAAGTCAATTATGTATTTCTCCATTATCACCACAGACAAGTAAACACTTGGCAAGTTGAGTGTTTTATCAGGATGGCAGGTGCAAAATTGCAGCACCAGTAACAGCCAGATTTTTCAAGCATCCTATTAGTGGAAGACCCTAGTATGCCCCATGTGGGATGTTCAGGAGAACAGAGATAGCCAATGCCTTTTATTTTACAGGACTCAGAGGCTGTCATTTTCCCCATGCTGTTCCCACACTCCCACCCCCCCTTCCAGGCAAGCAGTAGCCCCCTTTCCATGCCATCCCAGATGAGCAGGGCAGGCTGGCTTTCACCCTGCCACGCTGCTCCTATAACCTCTGCTGATACTGCCTCTGCCGTAACCTACTGCTGAACAATACCATCAGGTGCAGAACCTCAAAGGGATTTTGTATACCACATTAACTAAGTAATGCACTTGAATTGCTTAGAGATGTTCATATTAAAGTCAGGTTGGAGGTGCAGAGTACTTGTACATACTTAAGTGATCAAGTCAACAAGTAATGAACGCTTTAATTGAATTTGAGCTTTGTATCTGTACGCAGGTGGCCAAGGAAGAGATCACACTTGCAAATGTGTTATTCATGAGGGTTCTCTGTCATTGGCATCTACCTATCCCAAGCTCAATGGCGTGATATCAAAGCCACTTCTGTTGAATACTTTAGCCCAAAGGATTTTTTTTTTTTTGTATTCTGTAGCATCTGCCCCATTAGATTTCATTGCCCTGGCTGTATGACTGGCTATGATGACACATTATGTTTCATATTTCCCAGATTAACACGTTCAGCTTTGAAACTATCAAGGACCTGAAATCACTGCACTGTCAAATCTCTCCCAGACAAGGAGAGGAGAAATGTGTTAAACAGACCTCAAAATATTTTGATAATTTCTTGGTCCTGTTTCCATTGAAAAAAAACCAATGTTACTACCACAAAAGAAAAAATCCAAAACCAAAAAACACCACAAACCCAACCAACCAACAAAACACCCCGCCACATTAAATTTGGCCAGGAATATTGACCACAAAAATAACCAGGTTCCTTCCTGTTTGGAGAGACCTTTGACAGATTTACTGGCTGCCTGGTAGACTTTGCACTGTTTCCTCAGATCTCAAAGTTAAGGGATCTTAAAGAGTGCACAGAATGAAAGAGCCCATCTTTCTCACCCACTCATTCCCAGGTACATTATTTATTTGCAGATACATCTAATCACCAAGATTCTTTCCAGCAATTCCCTCCCGAATCTACTAATTACAAAAAAAAAAAAAAAAGCAAAACTAAAAAATGATGATATAATGAGCAATGAAACTCAAAAAGCCTGGCTTCCTACAGGTATGCCTTGCAATTCAACAGTTCTCCCACCATGATATCCCACCTCTGCATCTTCTAAAGCCCTGCAAGCAACACCTTAGGTAAGAGGCATGGGGAAGGGCATGAAAAACTGATAGTTCCATTCTTTCCTTACTGCCATTTATGCCAAATCTAACATTTTCGATTCTTTAGATGTTCCTGATATAAGCAGCTACGAAAGAACATTTGGTTTCAGTTCCTAGAGTCCTTATTGCATGAAGACCTCACACATGCCAGAAGCTCAGAATCCATCAGAGTGTATATCTAATGCTGTCAAAACCAAGTAATGATTTTTGCGAGATTGACTCTGTTTTTAAACAGGCTTGGAGGGAATGTCGAAGGAGAACTTTTCCATTCAGGATCGTCAGCAGTTCTTCCTGGATACTGTTTATTCTTCCTCATTTCCCAAAACTTAGTTGCTTCCAGGCACTTGGCTTGTTCTTCACCTGCTCCTTACTGCCCAAGAACCAGGATTTCTTACGTTAGGGATGTGTTGGTGTCATGTTGCACTAACTTTTTATGGAAATTGTTGCTAGCTGCCTCACAGGCAGAGCACCAGGTCCCTTTATCCATCCAACCATCCATCTTGGAAGCCACATAGTGACCTACCATTATGGCGTACAATTAATTAAAAGAAATCAGCCTTCTGCTACTATTTAAATATTCAAATCATCCAGAGTGACCAACTAGAGAGTTGGCTACAGATCCCTTAAGGGAGACAAATCCTATGGAGCCAAATACTCATCTGTGTTTTCCCCACTGTAAGAACTAATTCAAGTAAAAAACAGCATCTTTCCTCAGAAGCTTACCTCCCAGCTTGGCCCATTAGTTACAGCAACATTCACTCTTTACTGTAGTATTGAGCTAATGAGAGAATGGTTCTGTGATTTAAACCAAAGAAAGGCTACTCAGCTTAGTTCTCCAACAGAAATCTGCACAGAAATAGATGATTATGAACTCTTAACAATAGGCAGAAATAATAACCACGAGTTTATTAGATATTTTATTTGACTCGCTCCTTGAGCAATGAGGAAAAACCTAAACCAAACCAAACCAACGTTAAATAAGTAGTGGGATTCATTTTTTTTTTATTATTATTTCTACAGAATAAATATTCTACAGCCTAAAAAAACATTCTGCAGATCCACAGCAGCTTTTGGATCGATGCTTCCCAAACATTCGTAAATCTGCTGCAAAATACATACTGTTATCCTCAGAGACAGTGGCTCAGGGGACTAAATGATTTTAACTAGAATCACACATAAAATAAATAGCACAAACTAGAGTGCCTAGTTTTCTACCATAGCCACTGAACAACAGATTTTTGTAGAACAGCAACTGGAAGAACATTTTTCTAGCTGTATAGAGACAAGGTTAAGCTCACCAGTGAAGCAGTACGCTTTATTTTTGCCAAATCCTAAAAAAGAGGAATGTAAACAGCCAAATATTTAAAATACCAAATGTCTTGATAATAGAGAGAGATGTTCTTGCTAATGCCTAGTGTACATATCTCTCGAATGCAGCAAAAGGGGTTGAATGCCTCAATTAACTGTGAAAAAGGTTTACGCTGGGCATGCACAATGTGTGCCCTCTGGGAACATAAGTAGGAACTTCATAAAGATCAATCAAAATAACATGTAATGAAAAGGATTTTGTGTAATAAAAGAATCACTATGATGAATCATATCAATGATTTATGCAATCTATAATCAGCTCTTAAAATTGGTTGGGGGAAAAATACATCATGTGAAGGTGCAAAAATCACAGCAAAATTGAGAATAACATTCCCCACAGCAGAAGCTTCTCCCAGTGACCAAGCTATTTGGAACACATTTACACGTTCAAAAAGGAGGATTTGCCTCCTCGCTTTGTTTTAAAACAAACACAGCACGACACGTTCTCATTACCCATGGCTTCAAGAAAACTCCAGGGGTATTCTACGATTAGCCTGGTATAAACCCCTAAACATTAAATTTTTGTCATTTTGATTGAATATTCCTTTGCTCTTGTGTTATGATAAAGAATAAGCAGGAACATCTGATTGATTCTTCCTGTACAGTTCATTATTTCAAGTATCACTAGAACACCTCTGTTTATGCATCTTCTGATACTTAGCAGTCCTGAACAGTTTTCTCACGTGGCTATCGTCCATAAATCTATTTTCACTGCAGATCTCTGAAGCACTTCCACTTCTGTTGTATTTTAGAAATGGCATAATGAGATCGTTCAGAGTATTGCAGGTGGCTACAACATCAAAAGTTTGAAATTATTTATCCAATATGATTTCTTTTGTGTGTGCATAAAGTTAGCGGGTTTTATTGCTGTTTTGATTTTAAGCTAAACAAACCAAAATGAAAACTAGGCCTTTCTCATGAGTGATTTTAACTTACCTACTCCCAAGACATGTTATTAACTGCTTAAATTGCAGCTTTTTATCACCTTGCCTTGGTCAACAGTCATTCATCTGCCCTGTTCACCACAGGTGATTAAGCCCCTTCGGTGTTTCTCAGATTTCTCTGGGTCTGACTAGCCCTGAGTAATTTGTGCCATCTGCAAGTTGTGTGGAGACAAAGCCATTAATTGATAACTGCTGACTACAATTAAAAAAATTATGCTATGAGTAAATTAGCAAATCTGATATTTAAGTAATTGATGGTTTAGGGCCCCCATCTAAAGTATGAGCAATCTCCAGTTAAATTAACAGCCATTCGGTGATAATGAGCTCAGGTCCCTTCCCATTTGCACCACGACAATTC